TTTTAGTACGTAGCTATTTATTATTAGCATTGTTCTTCTGACGTCTGATTTCTTTTTAATTATAGGAAATGCGTTTTTCTAAGGTACATAAACTTTTGGGATTGACTTGTATAGCCAATATATCCTTAAAGTATGCACGTGTACAGATTGAAAGCTGAAAGTTGGTCTGACGCGAGGATCAAAGTTCGATGCAGATAAGAGACTTTTATCCAGGCGACTCAATTATATGTTCGCTTTTATTTAAGTTCAACCCTAATCAAATCTGTCACTTATCTATCAAGTTTGGAACATAGAAATCGATTGACTACCTCGCAACCTGTACATACACGTCTCAATAACGAACCATACTTACCAAATTCAACAGGTAAACGTTGGTTACAGTCCGCATCCTTTTGTTTCGCGCCAACGTGATCAATACCAACGAATTCCCCACGACGGAAAGTAGAAATATCGTCCCATACAGCGGCACGATCAAGTTCTCCAGTAAATTCGATTGCGCCGAATGTGGGACCGATGGTAACGTGGTGTTCACGACAATCGATGTCATTGTAGATAGTTGCGGCGCGTTGTTAATGAACCATTGATCAATGCCAGAGTTGACAAAATCGCCACGGGTTTCCTCGTTAAACGCACTATCATTCCCCAACATCTTATCACATTTATGAATATTTAAACGCTGCGTTTCAATTATTCGGTTTACGATTTATCTACTTTTACGGTCGATTCATTTCACTTATCGTGCACCACGCAGAATTTATTTTTGTGTCCATTGCATAAATACGCAATTTTGATATTGATTTTATTCATGTTGCTTTGATGCTGACGTTTTATCTTCCATTTGGCTATTCTGAAATGTATACAAGAGAATAAATGTAGTAGAAGCTATCTTTTACATTGATATTTTGCTATCATCTGATAGTACATTTCCAGTGTACATCTTATTGTTGGGAGATTACATTTGTACATAGCTACAACGTCGAGACGTTATTTATTTAGTATCTAAAGATAACGGCGAAGATCTAATGTTGTTCTTATGTGAGGCGTTGCTTCGACGTTCCTATTTTTTATTCGCCTTATTTTCCGCCCTCGTTTTTATTTATGTAACTACGCGAAGCACATGAAATTCTGTATGTCGTTGAGCCTGGAGAGTAGATTTTAAATTGATGTACCACCTACGTGACACCCTTCCCAATTAAATTAATGATTCAATAAATATTTGATTGAATATAAAAATGGAACTTGTATTAAACTTCTGGTCTGATTGATAAATAATACGTATTAATTATCTGAATTCAGTAATACAATCACTTTCGTATACGCTTACTCTGTTAAGATGATAAAGGAAGATAAATTATATGAAGTATATTTCTTTTGAAAACTAGGTTTAATTCAGTAAATTAATTACTGGGTGGGCCAATTGCTTTCTAGCACAGTTTGTAAGAAACTTTTTTTGGTAACGACAGTACTCGTGCAGGATTCTCAGGCACTCGCTATTAAATTTTCATTATCTCCTTCCGTTTAAATTGAAGACAGGTGCCTGAGTTTCACATCGCGTTTCAGAAATATCCAATGGGCTAAACTTTGTAATGAATTTTCATTCAAACTAGACAGTTATAACTGCAATAACGGCAATATTAAAATGCATTTAATGACTGCTTAATATTTAACGTGCTGGATAATTGATAATCAAACATGATGTACAAGTAGAACGATTGAAGAAAACTGCATGTAATAGTGAATAATGGACACGAACAATAAGAACTGAGTAAGGATACAATTAGAATTAAAAATTCTCATGAAAGTTCTTTCCTCTCAGGTATTTAAAGTTCAGTAATTCATCTCTAGCCATAATTCCAGGCTTTAAGTTTTTACTGTGAACCACTGCATCATGCAATTTTTATTATCAATTTTGTATGCGATATTAGGATTGAGTTAGCTTTGTTACGCTCTCTGCAAAGTTTTATCTCGAACGAGATGTTCACTTTGGAGAACGTGTCGTTAAAATCAATATTTATGTGACTGGCAATAAAAACACTGACAGGAGATAAAGGGATACTGAATTTATTAATTGTTTCGATTTATTAAGTAACGAAATATTATGCTTTCCTCATTAAAGAGAACGCGGTGTGCCTATGCCATAAAAGACAAAGGAGAGATATTAACTTTTTACGAAATATGATGCACCGTCTTTCTGTAATATGATTACAGACCTAAAGGAAGACTACAATATATAATATTACACGCTTATATGTATATTTTCAGTATAATGTCTTCTTTATTAAGATTAATTATTTCCACGTCAATAATTTCCAAATACCTCTTTCAGTTTTTCGTTCGTAAATCATAGTTTACCTTTTTTTGCAATAGAACCATGACTCACATCTAATGGAACCTCCAAACTATTTTTACACTCTGATTAAATTCCTGCATTAAATTTAATTAGTTCTCGTGAAAATGCGTAACCGGTTTCCAGAGATGTACCCTTGAAGTTTCCACGAATTTATAACACATATCGAAAACTACTTTTACCCCGTAATTTCTTGAACGGTTTCATAATGAATAAAAGTCCTTTTTGATGATTTATTATAATAGCTATTATGATAATTGAAATATTAGCCGACGCGTGGACACATTCTCACGTTCCCTGGATAAATAATTAATATTATAATTGTTCAATCAACATTGGGCCAATCAATTGGAACGATATTAAGAACGAATAAACATTCGAGGATTTTTTATTAATTAATCAACAAAGGTAAATAAAGCTTAAAACTATACTAAAGTTAGTTACTTTCTGAATAAATTGGAAACTGAAACTGAGGAAGCAGGTTTTTTTAATCTCTGATCAAAGTATTACGTAACGCGTGTTCGATCATTCTCTCTTAATTACGGACGGAAAATTGAGAAAGTAATTTCATACAAAATAAGAGGATGCATCACAAAAAGTAAAACCATGAAGCTCTTTTTGATACGTGTTTCATTAGAAACGATGCAATATCGGATTTGGAAAAGTACTTCTGGATGACTATTTAACTTTTACGTAGGAACGCTATATTCGATCTCTGTTCCATACTGTTTTACTGTTTGTATCCCACATACATGATAACGTACAACATGTGCATCAAACATGATAACGGAAAAGTTCACCAGAATTCTGTCATTAGTCAGGATTTTAAATGATTGACATGACAGAACTCTGAATCGGACACATTCGATATGTTTGAATGTAGCTGACAATGTAGCGTTTTGGTAGCATCCAAAACAAAATAGATATAAATTAATACTGAAATATGATATAGAAATGAAATTTACTCAACATTTTAAGTATTTACACGTTCAATATTTTTCATATGCAATAGTAAACGTTATAATAAATAAAATAATAAGAATGAAAAATGCTAATAGGGGAAGGTTAAAATACAGTGAAACACTCGTCCAGTTTCAATATTATAACTTTAACATTTATACTTCTCATTCCTCGATTTAATCTGTGAGAAAAAATCTACTCTCCATTTCAGTTTAAAAATGAAATTCAGTGGCAATTTAATTTAAAAAAAAAAGCTATTTTCTACGCGATCTCGGTCCTGCTGTTTCAATAAGGACAGCAAAGAGTAAGTGGAAATAATGATTTTTAATATCTGATATACTCGTCTGCGTTTCCTGAAAGTTTTCCACGAATTTCTGCATTCGTCTACTAGTGAAGTTATATAAGAGAATTTCTGGCGTTCAGATTGAACATTCGAATGTAGAGAATGTGTGGAATTTCTGAACTATCTATTAGGAAGGATTTAATATTCGCTTACCAGCGCAGATAAATGTGGTTGACGATGACCCTCGTCGCTACGCCCGTCATCTTGATCGTCGCGTCACCGGAGAACCATCGACGGTAGCTGTTTATGGTAAACTTGTCGCATGATGGAATCACCGTGTTCATTCATATTCATATCACTGAACATGGTCAAAAGTATCTCGCAAACGCGAAACGAAGAACATGTACTTGACCTTACATTCGGTAAACTAAAATTCTTCCGCGCACTCTATTCGTTCGTCTGTTAATAGTTTATTTTCCCGAGAAAACAGTTTTCTTTTTGTAACTTTTAAGCAGTGAGTATAACTTTGGAGCTCGCAACTTTTGAAAGTCCGAGTGTTTACCGTTTTGGCGTAAAAACACGGTATTTTGCGATTTCATTAAAACTTTCCGTGAACTCGCGATGAACTAGTTCCCTATGAATATCGTTCTTTATCATTCTCACCATCGTTTCCTGTATATTATATAAAGAGGAAGAGTATGTAGGAAGTGCACATAGAATATTGTAACATGTGTGTATTGATATTACGGTGATTAACAATGTAAAGTAATAGTTTGAAATTAAGTACACAAGATATGCAATCTCGCTCGTAAGTGTACGTTTAATATAAGTGTTCGAAGTTGATAAGGGTATCGCGAAGTTGGCTCGAGCTAATTTAACTTTAAGGTCTTACAGTAATAACTGCTATATCCAAGATTAAAAAAAAGAAGAAATTCTTTAAAAATGTCACGCGACGGTAAGTTACTATTTATTATGTTTCTCTTGCCATCTTCTAGAGTAAATTACTGATTTTCAATTACATGTTTAAACAAACGTATTCGATCCTCCGTTCAGAATGCGATTATCCGTAAACCGCGTATTAGAATTGATTCCCGTTCGTATTTATATGAAATCGAATCGATCGAATGAGACGATCCTATTCCAATTCCAATGTATCGCAATTGGGAGTACTGCAGCCGCAGCCCACACGATTTCAAAGACTAAACCGAGTTTCTGATTTCAACTTTACAATCTACGGATGATCGTAACTGCATAAAGATCTTCATCCAAAAGCTATGGAAAAAGTTTGATGATCATAAATATCAAACGATGCTCTCAATAACTTAGGAGAATTTCAACTTACTTCGAAAGTACAGGAATTTCAATTTTATGCTGCCAGATGAGAGAAAATTCATACTAGACTCTTCCATTATGCTTTCCCTTCAGATAAACACTTTATAATCAACGAGAATTTCTACTTTCATTTTTTCCTTCTATCAACTTACAATTCTAAGTGACGTATCTTATTCAGAATTCGTAGCAGAATGAGAATCAAGAATTTATTTACAAATGTGAAGTCGAGTTTAATATCACAGTCGAAGAAAAATCAAGTTTTTTCTCTAAAATCGAGAGAGCAGTTGTATGAACGATTGTGTCCGATATTGATTACTCGTTTGAACGCAGTATTAAACAATGCCGTCGAACTTCCTTTATGCACGAGCACTGGAAAATATCGATGAATTCAAAAATCTTTTCACAGCTTTTAATTTCAGAGAGGACTGAGTAAATCTCACGGAACTTAATTGAGAATCGCTTTGAAGTCTAGGAACAGGGAGACTATTATTAGTTATCACATTCGCAATTCGGTATAACTGTCGGGAAATTCTCGCTACCCTGTGTGTCGTACCTGTAATTGTTTCATTCCTTTCGGCACAAAAGATATATAATACCTAACTTAACTAATTCACGTCTTCAATATTCGTGAAATTTATTATATTTAATTTCTGAAATGCGGAAAAAAAAAAGTAGCTACGAAATTGTTTTCCATTATACTCTCGCGCGGCACAAAATCGACTGCATTGTATAAATTATAGAAACGAAATTAAACAGAGGAACACCTATTGCTGTATTGATCGTGCACACATTCATAGATGCGTTGTCTATTAAGAAAATCTTTAACCATCCGCCACTATTTCAAACCTATTTACAATACAGTCCACAAAAAAATGAATTCATCATTTCGAATCCAACGTAATTTCAAGTTAATTACTTGTCACCTTATATGAATATAATTACCACAACGTACGAAGTGAAAAAGTACTGATGAAGCTCGTACAGTAATTACTTGAACACAAACATACTTCGACGTATATAATAAAGTTACAATCGCGAAGACTGTAATTGAATACACTTTCAAAGAAAATCACATGCGACGGCGATTTACGTACTCTTCACACAAGCCTTTTTTCCTCTCATCGTACGACAAAAAAGTCTCTCAACTTTTATTCATTATTTGCAAATGAAAAAGTAAATTAAAAGAGGAGACGTTCGGTTTCTATTCGCACTAGCAATCTTCATTTGGCTGCTCTTTAACTATCCACCAAGAAGCGAACACGACGCGACGACGACAGTAGCGGAACTCAACGATGAACGCGACGGGTGCAAGTAGTTAGGATCAACGCGCGATCCGGCCGGCACGAGGCAACGATACGGCGAAGCGCACGCGACGGATCCTGGCCGCCGACTGAATCCAAGAGGTTGCTTCCTGTTTCCTGCCGACCGCTCGCCTCTCTACCCTAACGAATCGACCATCGCTCGTAAATCCTCTCTGCTTCCACTGTATTTACTACCTACCTACTTAACTCGGAAACATCACCTATTTTTATTTACGGATTCAAGCTTAGCCTTCCACTGTTTGTATCAATAGATTCAGCGTTTTTAAAAAACTCGCAATAACATAATAAGACAGCGGATGATATTATAAGAGAATTGAATGTACAGAGAAATTGCGATGTATAAATGATACGAAAAATAAATTCTTTTAAACAGACATAATAAGTGTTCTTATTTCCTTCAAAATCCGCAGTTCGATTATAATGTACGTACAATGAGTCATGAAATTGATCAGCTGTATATTCGAAACTGCTGCGTGTATTTACGAATTTCATATTAATATGCACTATAAATAGATTGCATGTTGCAAGTCTATACAAGTATTTACTGCAAAAGTGAAATACAGATTTAAATATTTATTTAATTACTTTGATACGATTATGAACGATCGATGGGAAATAAAAAAGGACTGGTATATTTATTATTGCCTCTTTTAATACTATTACCCTGAACAATAACTATTATATCGTAAAATTACGGTCGACGTGAATGGAGAGACACCGGGGCGATGTTATAATTATTTTCCACAGACCCTTGTCAACGAGCGTTGTCACTACATAATTAAGGCGACTTTTCGATAAGGATGAACGCTGTGCAAATAGCAGCTATTGCTAAACGAACGTTTAATGAGTAAACAGTGCTTGGCAAATCTTACATAAATTGTAATCCACTTTTCTATGGTAATTAAAGTTCCATTATTTAATCTTTACACTGATTTTAAGAAGAACAAGACTAAAGATTTGGGGGTTCAATTTCATAAACTATTTATAATTTATAATATGTTAAGTACCGAATATGATAAATCAATCCTTAGTTAATGAATAAATCAAAACTGTATCTCATTAAATGTTTCTTTGAATGACTGAGAGGAACTAGTTATACTGCTGACGTACAACCCTATGAAGTATAATCAAATTCAGGTTGCGATAAACAAGGTAAAGTTTAGTTTCCTTTCTACACGAACAGTAAACTGAATGTATGCACCCTGTGACATAATTTAATAAGCAGAGTTAGAGTCTGCAGATATTGAGGAACGATGCCAGTCACATCACCATGTTACGAAACCTTTGAAACGAACAAATACAGAAATGAAATTTATGTCATCGTGAAAGTAAATTTCATTAATTTCCGTATTACTCGAATCGATTGAAAATCAGACACTGATTTATATTGTAAATAAAAATCCGGCTGTTATATTTACTCGTGATTCTTGCTATGTTTTTCATTTCATCGATCTATGAAACAAATCTGTTTGCACATAAAATAATAAATTTGATATGAAGCATATCGTAAAGTGAATCACCCGTAACTGTGACAGAGTCACTATATTTTTCATTCAACGACCCCTTATAAACCATGTTCCATCAGAATTGCCTTATGAACACTAAAGTTTATGAGTCTATATCCCATAACTTTACCACCTCAGGGAAATGTCATTTTCGGATAAATACAAAATGAGTAATCGTCGATTTTTAAATATAATTCAACATACATATACATATAGACCGAAATTAAGATACAGTAATTCTACACTTGATTGTTGTTTTTCTCTTGATACCGTTTCGAAAGGTTGGTCGATGGCTCGTCAAGCAACAAGTGGCTATTCCGGGATTTTGTAACTTAGGAAGTTGCTTTAGAATATCATATATGAACTCGAGGCTGAGAGTGGTCAAACTATATTGATAGTCTATTTTATTGTTAAATAAATTAACGCGCAACCATTTTCGAATGTTTTTAGGTTTCATAACTGTTCAATTTAATTAGATATAAATACGGGCATGAATAGTTAATTAACAGAACTAAATGAGTCGCTAAACAATTATCGTTTATTGAGTTACGCACGATCACTAAACATTGCAACAATAAAATATTTGCATGAGATAAATAGCTGGATAAAATGCAATTTTCAAGGCTTCATACGGTTCATTTATATTCAATTTCCTTTGGGAAATACATTTATCATCGCGCAGTTTAATAAGTATTGATTTATCCAGTTGTCCAAGAATTATAAATAAAACTATATTCTCCTAGAAAAATTTAATTTTCTAAAATTCTAACAAATCACAAT